GCAGATTTTAGGCTGAATTGAATAAATACATGTGCTGTTGGGAGACGGAAATTGAGGTAGGTTTCTGGAAATATATAAAACCAATAGCAGCCACTTGGAGCTACTTTGAAAAGTCAAGAGTTGGGGCTACTTTAATTATATATACATACAATTTGTTGGCAGCAAGGTTGGAAGAATTTGGGGACAAGAATTCTGGAATTAAAAAGGTAATGGTGCTGAATTTATGTATATACACGTTTGGGAAAAACATCAAGGTTTCTAGAGACAAAACACTGATGGTTCCTTATTCCTTTGAGGAATGGACTCTCTTATTGGGGATTGAGAGAGGTGGACGACAAGCGCATGAACTGGACAAGAACAGGACGTTCTTGAAATTTCACTTGGTGATACAATCAGCTAAAAATCAAGAGGCTATATTGGACATCAGATTAGGCTGCAAGAGGTAGATCGAGAAGGTAGTAGGAGAGTAGCAGTATCTACGGCAGTAGATTGTGAGACTGGAGCAGTGGGTCTGATTTGTTACGGAGTTTGGCATAACTTGTACCAGTTGGATTGGTATAGAGGAAACTACTGGTTTGGTCCCGGAGTTTTACCCACGTTGGGGTTTCCCCGTCATCATATTGTGAGTTGCTGTTGTTACTATTTTATTTACTTTACGCAATACAAACCGGCATTTCAATATAGGATTAATTGGACTTGATTGTTTAATCACCTAGACAATTAATTAAAGTGACATGTTGCTTTGATTAATCGATTCCGTAGTAAGGTCGAATAATAAATTGATTGGAACGTAAACTTGGTAAACGCTAAAATTTGAATTTGACATTGTATAGCGTTCCTGTGAACTTTCAAGTGTTGTAGAGCATTTCTAGAATTTTCAAGTGGTATCAAAGCCTAATTTCGTGTCCTGACCTTAATTTTGTTCTAGATGAGTTCTTCTTTGCATGTCCCGCCTTATTTTGATGGTTCAAATTATGCTTATTGGAAAGTGAGAATGAGGGCATTTTTAAAATCCATGGATGAAAGTATTTGGCTTAGTGTTGTTAATGGATGGTCTGCCCCTAGTAGTACAGTCAATGATGTTGTCACTCTCACCCCGATTGAAAATTGGTCTAGAGGTCAATTGGATAGTTGTAACTAGAATAGTAAAGCCATACATGCGTTGTGTATAGCTGTATCCCTCGAAGAATTTAGGAGAGTGTCGATGTGTGAGGTAGCTAAAGATGTTTGGGATATTTTGCAAACCACACATGAGGGAACACAAACTGTGAAGAATTCCAAGTTACAATTGTTGACCACGAAATTCAAGGAAATTAGGATGCGAGATGATGAAACATTTGACGTGTTTTATACTAGTCTGAACGACATAGTTAACTCGAGTTTCAATTTAGGTAAAAAAATTCGTGAATCTAAGATAGTGCGAAAAATTCTTAGATCCTTACGTGAGCAATTTAGGTCTAAAATCATGACAATTGAGGAAAGTAAGGACATAGATTCTATAAAGGATGAGGAATTGGTTGGATCCCTACAGACCTACGAGCTGGCCTTAGAAAAATCCAATAAGAAATCTTTGGCCTTGAAATCTGTGAGGTATGATCGGAATGAATCTTCTGACTCCGATTCACCAAATGATGAGGAGCTTGCCTACCTTACCAAAAAATTCTGGAGAATGTTTAGGACAAAAAACAAACCTCAGGAGAAACCGAGAGGTGCCCCAAGTGAACCTAAGAGAAAATCTAAATAAGTGAGGTGCCATAGGTCCAAAATTGTAGTTGGCATTCTATGAGCAAAAAAAAGGACTTAAAAGTCAAGGTGTGAAGTCCAATATTGTATAATTGAGTTGGGCTAGGGTTTGAACTCCCACAAGTCAAAGCCTTCATATCTATATATATGCGGATGTATTGAATAAGGGTTCGCCGGCTACCAATATTAATATATATGTATATACACAACAGAAAACGGCGCAAAGTAAGGCTGCTGGAGGAATTAAAAAGTCAGGCCACTGGAGTTAATTGCCGACAGTCACTTGCATGCAGAGATAAAGAATATTTGGTGGCTAAATTGAATAGTTTATATATTCACAAAACACAGCAGCTTTGGCAAATTGGGTGGCTGAATTAAATTATTATATATACTCACTTTGGGCAAAATTTGTATGAATATTTGCATGGAAATAGAGGCAGAAAAGTGCTGGAATTAAAAGCTGCTGGGAGTTGAATTTAGTATATATATTCACTGAAAATTGAAGCAGATTTTGGGCTGAATTGAATAAATACACGTGCTGTTGGGAGACGAAAATTGAGGTAGGTTTCTGGGAATATATAAAACCAATAGCAGCCATTTGGAGCTACTTTGAAAAGTCAAGAGTTGGGGCTACTTTAATTATATATACATACAATTTGTTGGCAGCAAGGTTGGAAGAATTTGGGGACAAGAATTCTGGAAAAAAAGGTAGTGGTGCTGAATTTATGTATATACACGTTTGGGAAACACATCAAGGTTTCTAAAGATAAAACACCGGTGGTTTCTTAATCCTTTGAGGAACGGACTCTCTCATTGGGGATTAAGAGAGGTGGACGACAAGCGCAGGAACTGGACAAGAACAGGAGGTTCTTGGAATTCCACTTGGTGATACAATCAGCTAAAGACCAGGAGGCTGTATTGGACAACAGATTGGGCTGCAAGAGGTAGATCGGGAAGGTAGCAGGAGAGTAGTAGTATCTATGACAGTCGATCTTGAGACTGGAGTAGTGGGTCTGATTTCGTATGGAGTTTGGCATAACTTGTACTAGCTGAATTGTAGTGGAAACTACTGGCTTGGTCCTGGAGTTTTACCCACGTTGGGGTTTCTCCGTCATCATATTGTGAGTTGGTGTTGTTACTATTTTATTTACTTTACGCATTACAAACCGGCAATTCAACATAGGATTAATTGGACTTGATTGTTTAATCACCTAGACAATTAATTAAAGTGATATGTTGCTTTGATTAATCAATTCCATAGTAAGGTCGAATAATAAATTGACTGGAACGTAAACTTGGTAAATGCTAAAATTTGAACTTGACATTGTATAGCGTTCCCATGAACTTTCAAGTGTTGTAGAGCGTTCCTAGAATTTTCAAGTTACATGAAGGAATTTGTGGGAATCATGCTGGGGGACAACCCAAGCTCGTAAAATTTAGAGGTAAAGATATTTCAGGCCTTCATAAAACGAGATGCCTTAAACTTTGTAAAAAAGTGTGATAAATATCAATGGTTTGCACCCATTAATCGAGCTCCCCTATGAGAGCACACTTCCATCATTAGCCCATGTCCATTCTCAAAGTGGGAGATAGATCTCATTGGGCTAATGCATACTGGAAGAGGTGAAACTAAATTTACTATTCTTATTGTTGACTACTTTACAAATTGGGCAGAGGTCGAGCCTCTTACAAAAATAATTGAGCATAAAATCACAAAATTCATCTAGAAATCAATCATTTGTAGATTTGGGATCCCACATTCAATAATCATTGACATTGGAAAGCAATTTGACAACACGTGATTAAGGACCTTCTGTAAAGAGCTCAACATTAAAAATTATTTCTCTACTCCAAATTACCTAAGCTAATGGCAGGTTGAGGAGGTCAATAAGATAGTTAAGCACAATTGGAAAGCTCGTTTGGACACTCTCAAAGGAGCATGGACAGATGAAGTCTCAAGTGCTCCATGGGCCTACCATAAGCCCTCACGAATTAGCAACATTTGGTGTGGAAGCAGTAATTCTTCTTCAAATAGGAGTCCTTTCATTTCAAATTGCATTTTTCAATGAAAAACAATGAAAAAACATTATGTATAGACTAAACTTGGTATAAGAAAAAAGGAATGAAGCTGAGCTCAACAGTTTACAAACAAAGAGTTCAAGATACTACAACCAGAAATTGTGCATAAGAAAATTCGAAGTTGGTGATTCGATGTTTCGAAAAATCTTTCTAGCCACTAGGGAGCTTAACACATGATCATCAAGTTCTAATTGGAAATGACCCTACCAAGTCACCAAAATTCTCTCTAAAGGCACTTATGAGATTGAAGACATGCAAGGATATCCTCTCTTGCACCCTTGGAACGTAGAGTACCTTAAAAATATTACAAATAAATTGCTAAATGTACTATTTCATGTTATCATGTTCGCAAAATGAACTTTCGTTTTAACAATTCCAAACCTACACAATACATGGAAAATTCAAAGCCTGCTCCACAACAGCATGAGCTAAGGTTGTAAGTACCACAACATCGAGATAATAAATTTCATGGAAATAGGACAATTTTCTAGCTTTGTCCGAACTAAGTGTGATCAAGTTGCAACACTTGGTTTTCCTACACAAAATTTTAAAGCCCGTTTCTCAGTAGCATGAGCTATCGTTGTAAGTACTACAACACTTAGATAATAAATTTCATAAAAGTGGGACATTTTTTTTTTTAGCTCTATTTGAATTAAGTGACCATGTTGCAACACTTAGTAAAATCTCCTATATGAAATTTTAAAAGCTCGTTCCTTAGTATCATGAGATAAGTTTGTAAGTGCAACAACACTTAAATAATAAATTTCACGAAAACAGGACAACCTTTCAATTCCGTCCTTACTAAGTGTGACCATGCAACCATGCTGTAATACTTGGTCAAATTTCATACATGAAAATTTAAAAATCTGCTCCCCTGCAGCATGAGCTAAGGTCGTAGGTGTTGTAGTACTTATGAAAATAAATTTCATAGAAATAGCATAGCTTCTCAGCTCTAGCTAAATTAAGTGTGCTCGTGCTGCAATACCTAGTCTAATATCCTACATGAAATTTTTGAATTTTTTTTTAAAAAAAAAAACACTAATTTAGGTTTGTACAAATTATTACATGTAGGCAACTAAGTAAAATAGAGGGAAAACCACACTAACAGTCGCAAAGTATAGGGCTTGTATTATTGATTTGAAATGCTAAAAGATAATTTAACTTGAATTAAAAATTACTCAAATTAAACAAGAACATTCATATAATGGGTCAAAAAGACTAGTCATTTTATTCAAAAGAATCATTCCCAGGCTACATCAAAAAAAGCAAAAATTACCAAAAAGATCACAAAAAGAAATTGCCAAATTATATAACAAGAGGAAGGTTTCCTTCAGGCTCAATGTTGCCTTTACGGGGCTTTTTTCTCTTAAGCAGTCCTTTGTAAAGCCATCACATCTTCACGTACTTGTTAATGGCATCCACATCTATTGTAAAACCCTTGATATCTATGTCTATACCCATCGAGGACAACATTATTAAACAAAACTAAAAATTGTGAGAAAAAGACATAAATTAGAAATCTTACTTCTAAGAAAGAGGTGAAGCTTTTGCAACAAATAAGCTAGCATGGAAAAGGCTGGAGTCACTTATCAGCGATGAATAGGATTGCTGCTTAAGGTAAAGGGCTCTAATCTCATTCACCCTTTCCTGCAGTTCTAAAGTGATCTTGTGTTGTAAGGTAAGCTGCAAAAAGAAAAGTTAGTTGTAACCCGCTCATTAAAACATTTTGACAATATAAAATAATTACTAGCTTATTTACTTCGTTATAACTGGTTGGCACAACCTCATCCCTTGTCACCTTAGATGGATGGAAATGCTAGTCACCTTGGATAAAGAAGAACTCTTCTTTCCATCTCTTGATTGAAGAAGGGGAATATAGAACCACAAAAGCCCCTCGTGTTTGGTGTTATACTAGTGTATAATACCACCTGAATTTTTCTTGTCCTCTTTGAAGTTGTAAAGAGCATTAAAATGCTCAACAGTAAGCTCTAGAAAATCCAACTTATGTCATAACAGTAAGCGTCCAAAAATAGTCCTCCATCCATTTGGGTGGAGCTGAGTACAAGTCATACACTAGGCAAATAAAAATCTATAAATAATGTGTGGAAAAGAGAGCTTATGACTGCCTGAAAATAAGGGAGAGCTAAAGGCTACCCAACATTTTGGAAGATCTCAAAAGCTCGATCATGTGGGAAACGAATGATCATTTCAATCGAAGTAGGTATACGGTAGATCGTATGCCATTTCCCTAATTGCCTAGATAACAACAATAATCTAATATGTAAGTGTTCCCACCCCCATCCTCGCTTGCATCCTCATCGCCCACTTCATCCCTTGCATCATTCCCAAATTTATCTCTAAGTAGACCTACCATCGCTGCATCATCCCCAAAATGTGCAAGTAAGACAGGATGACTATGCTTTATTATGGACACTATAGTCCGACCAGGTCGAACTACAGAGCTGGAGAAAAGACTTTATGTGCCTTCAACCCTGAGGAAGAACCATGTTCATTGGAAGGGATGGACTCTTCCTAATCGTTCTCCACAAATGTAACGACTCTCGTCAGAATTCATGCCCATCAAACATAAGAAAAATTTTTAAGGAAAAGATAAAGACAGAGGAAGCGAGAACAAAAATATACCTGTTAGCGAGATGATCTGCATAAAATTAAGAACAGAAAATTGGAAAACTCCCTTGAATGGCGAAAAAGGATAGGAAGAAATCTTGGATGAAAATATGAAGAAAAAAAGAAAATAGCAGGTTTTAAAAGGAGATGAAATTTTAGACCAAATCCAGGCCATTCAATGTAGGGATAGCAAAAAAATTCGTCAAACTCGATATCCGAGAGGCCCTGCCCCTAATAGGGTGGGATTACTCGTTTAGTCAGGTATTTGGGTTGGGGTAGGTACGGGTAACAAGGGCCTTGCCACACACTATTTAACCTTTTTTTATTTTAAGAATTCAATAATTCAAACAGAAAACTCCACAAAATTTCATTAATTATAATAGAAGATGACAATTAAAATTATTTAAGGAATATGATAAACAATAAAAACATTAGTTACCATATTGCCATCCCTAATTCATGAAAAAATGGAAAGAAATTGAAAGGTCAAGATGCATTCATTGGGAAACTTCCCCTATAAGTCATCATGGAAGTAAAAAAGGCACACCCTTTAACAATATTACATATGGCAATAAATTAGTCATTCTTGCAGCACTGGCCTATCACGAATAAAGAAAAATCCAACTTAGTTCTTTGAAAAGCCATCTAGAAGCATAATTATTACTCTCTGTAACATAATGTCCCTAGATAATGTTATCACCGTTTATGCAACCAATCTAGAAGAAATATGTGCTAGGCAATGATAGCTACACCACTCTTTTAGCCAACAACTAGTTAGTAATGATTAACCACCACCCCAATGAATGTTTTGGCTGATCTCAATGATAAATCATAATTCTCGAAAAAATCAAATAATGGCACATACTTTAAGGACTATACTATTGATGATGTAACGCAGGGCCACCAACTTCCTAGCTGAAAGCTTATAAATATATACACAAAATTAACCCTTATTTGAGTCACATTATTTTCATAAGAATGCATTTTTGAATAGTGTATTGATGAAAAATAAATGGTTAAAAAATAAAGAAAAGTTTTGGATTTATGTGTAATATTATTTTATTAAAAAATATTTGGTTGAAATAATGTCAAATCACAGCTTAAGAATGTTTTTTTTTTTTTGAAAGAATGTGGGTCAAACGGGACTTTAATGTACACTCTTTACATTTCACTCCAATTAATACAACAATCTTCTTTTTTTACTATTTTAGCATTTCACCTTGTACAAATCATCTACTAAGTTGATAATATTTGACCTAGTTACATTTTAACACCAACATATTTATTTATAATCTAAATTATATATGACATTTACAATACTTCCTAGTATCTGATGGGACTATGACAGTTTCTTAGTCTTATATTAAAAAGGCATGCACCTAATCACACCTAAACAATAGATCATTACAATATTAGTATTTTTAGTATTTATTGTTCTATTGTATACTTCTATTGTACTTAAATAAAAAAAGATGTTAATCTTAAAATTGAGATGAAAAAGCTCCTCTCACCTAATTAAATTTTTCACTCCTTGAATTCCTTTAGTAAGAGTCATGAAAGAAATGATCATTTTGAAATGAGAGTCTATTCAATTTTTCATATCCTTCTTTATTCACAAGTATGCCTATTTATATATTTTTGATGAGGCTGTAGTGGGGATCAACTCTTTTCCTTTGATGGCACATTACAATTGTTGATTAGTGAGCTTTAATTGAATTTGTTACATTTTTACATTTTATTCATCATGCCCTACGTCCTTTACTCATTGGTTATGAAGTAATATTTAACATGTTTATCAATCTTACCAGGTGTACTTCAATAACATTTTTGTTGATGTGGAATAACATGTGGAAACAACTAAAAGTATACGTGTTTATTCAATAATTTTGCATTCAGATGCCTTGTGCTCTTGTTGTTTACGTTTAGGATCAAACATAAAAGCTTCTTATTATTAATGCTCATTGATAATGGCTAAAGAATGTACATGATCTAACGATTTTATAATTTAGAAATCGTCAATAGTGGCATGTGTTCGATCAAGCGAGCTTAAGATAAAATCGCAAATCAATATTCTTTCATTAATCTCTATAAATTTAATTGATATAAAAGAGAAGGATGTGAGCTTTGGCTCTAAACTTTATAATTTAATGCATTTAGCATACCTTTGCTTATTAACTTTCGTTTGAAACAATGGAGAGACTACTAATGAAATTATCCTTAATTTTTGCCAAGCATTGACCTTTGATTTCAAGGTCTCCAACAATGAGGTTGAATATGAAGCATAGATAGCCCATTTGAGAATGGCCAAAGAACTGAAAGTGGTTAAGCTGGTAATACATGTTGATTGTTAGCTCATTGTTAATCAAATTAATGAGGTATTCCAAACAAATGAGGATAAAATGAGTATTTACCTCAAAGCTGACCGGAAGGAATTACAAAATTTTGAAATAATGGAGGTAAAACAAAAAAATAGTCACTCTGACGAGTTGGCAAGAATCGTAACTAGGAAAGAAGTGAATGAGTTGGATCGTATCCCTTTCAGAAAAGTTAGACATTTTGCCATTAAGAAAGATGTCATGACGTTGATGGTCGTAGACTCCTAAGCCACATGGATGGATGAGATCATACAATTTCTCAAAATTGGAGAAAGTTCCACGGACCCAACTAAAGCTAAGAAGTTGAAAATAAGGCCAGCTATGTACACTTTAATGGAAGTTGTTCTCATCGTATTACTAAAATGTCTGAATGAAGAGGATGTCCTATATGCTCTACAAGAGTACATGAAGGAATTTGAGAGAATCACGTTGGGGGACAATCCTTAGCTCATAAAATTTAAAGGCAGGGATATTTCAGACCTTTACAAAACGAGATGCCTTAAACTTTGTAAAAAAGTGTGATAAATGTCAGTGGTTTGCACCCATTAACCGAGCTCCCCTAGAAGAGCATACTTCCATCATTAGCCCATGTCTATTTTCAAAGTGGGAGATAGATCTCATTGGGCCAATGTATATTGGAAGAGGTGGAACAAAATTTGCTATTCAACTGTTGACTATTTCATCAAGAGATCGAGCCTTTTAAAGAAAATAATTGAGCATAAAATCACAATATTCATCTGGAAATCGATCATTTGTAGATTTAGGATCCCACATTCAATAATCATTGACAATGGAAAGCAATTTGACAACACATAATTAAGGGCCTTTTGTGAAGCGCTCAACATTAAAAAATATTTCTCTAGTCCAAATTACACGAGCTAATGGGCAAGTTGAGGAGGTCAATATGATAGTCATGCACCCTTTGAAAAAAGGAGCATGGACAGATAAACTCTCAAGTGTGCAATGTTCCTACCATAAGACCTCACGAACTAGCATCGGAGAAATACCTTTCTCCTTTACATTCGATGTGGAAGTAGTAATTCCTCTTGAAATTAGAGTCATTTCATTTCAAATTGCATTTTTCAACCAAAAACTATGAAAAAGCATTATGTGTGGAGCTCGACTTGGTAGAAGAAAAAAGGGATGAAGCTGAGCTCAGGACAATAGTTTACAAACAAAGGAGTTCAAGCTACTACAACCAGAAAGTGAGTATAAGGAAATTTGAAGTTGGTGATTCGGTGTACAAAAAATCTTTCTAGCCACTAGGGAACTTAACACATGATCATTAGCTTCTAATTGGAAATGATCCTACAAAGTTACCAAAATTCTCTCTAAAGGCTCTTGTGAGCTTGAAGACATGCAAGGATATCCTCCTTTGCACCCTTAGAACGCAAAGCACCTCAAAAATATTACCAGTAAATTGCTAAATATACTGTTTTGTGTAATCACGTTCGAAAAATGAACTTTCGTTTAAACAATTCCAAACCCACACAATACATAAAAAATCCAAAGCCCATTCCACAAAAGCATGAGCTAAGGTTGTAAGTACCGCAACACTTAGACAATAAATTTCATGGAAATATGACAGTTTTCTAGCTTAGTCTTAACTAAGTGTGATCATGTTGCAACATTTGGTTTCCCAATACAAAATTTGAAAGCCTGTTTCTCAGTAGCATGAGCTAAGGTTGTAAGTACTACATTGCTTATATAATAAATTTCATGAAAATAGGACATCTTTTTAGCTCTATTTGAATTAAATGTGACCATGCTGCAACACTTAGTAAAATTTCTTATATGAAATTTCAAAAGCCTGCTCCTTTGTATCATGAGATTAGTTTGTAAGTGCTACAACATTTAGACAATAAATGTCACGGAAATAGGACAACTTTTCAGCTCTTTCCTTACTAAGTGTGACCATGCTGCAACACTTCGTAAAACTTCGTACTTGAAATTTCAAAAATTTGCTCCTCCGCAGTATGAGCTAAGGTTGTAAGTGTTGTAATAGTGCTCGTGCCGCAACAACTAGTCTAATATCCTACATGAAATTTTTGAAATCTTCTTTTTTAAAAAAAAAAAATCTTTAAAAAAAAAATTAACTAATATAAGTTTGTCTAAATTATTACATGTAGGCAACTGAGTAAAATAGAAAGAAAACTACACTAACAGTCGCTCGTATTATTGATTCGAAACGCTAAAAAATAATTTAATTTGAATTAAAAATTACTCAAATTAAACAAGAACATTCATGTAGTGGGTCAAAAGATTAGTTATTTCATTTAAAAGAATCATTCCCAGGCTACATCAAAACAAAGCAAATTTTACCAATGATCACGAAAAGGAATTGCCAAATTAAACAAGAACAATCATATAACAAGAGGAAGGTTTCCTTCAGGGTCAACTCGCTAATCTAGAATAGGAGCCACCTCTTCATCTTAAGCCCCAGAAAGATAAATCCCTATCATGTTTGCTAAAAGCTCCTCTCGACGCTCCAGTTGCTGATGAAGAAAGCTGGTGTCAAGGTTAAGTACCTTTGCCCCAATAATATTGATGATATCATGCAAAGCTACCACATAAACCTCTTGGCTCATAGCTTCAGCTTTTGGAGATGATTTCCATTTCTCCACTACTCTACTTATTTTACCCACTCTTCATCAGTCCATTCCTTCTCCATTTCCATCACCTGAACTACATCTGTATTTTTGAGTTTTTTGGCTCCAACTCCCATTTAACTGACTCAGCCTTATCGTTATCTGCCAACATCCTTTTCCAACCGAAACCTTAGCAAAACTTCACTATACAAACAAGCTGCCAATCAATTTTCTCCTCAACCTATTTTGCTTCTACTCTCAAATCACGAGGCCTTTTCATCTTTAGCAGTCCTTTGCAAAGCCAACACATCTTAACGTATTTGTTAATGGCATCCTCCTGCATTATAATTTGCAAAAGAAAAAGAAAATGGCTAATAAATGAGTTAATAAAGTACAAAGTAGAGGAAATTATTTTCCTTTGTTAGAGATAGACATTAAGATGATAGAGCGATGGGCATAAACTGTTGCAGTGATGTAGGACTCCTCTACACTCATTTGGCCCAATTATCTCTGCTTATGACCATTCTAACTTTTGGTTAGAAGGCGAGCTAAATTCCTGAGAAGAGAAGGAATGGTAGATGTCATGGCCATGGGTGGAGATGGAGCTCTCTAAATGTCTATCAAAACTTCTAGCTAGATTCCTACTAGCTCATCCAAATTGGATCTAGGTAAATCACTATAAGTAGAGCTAGAGCAAACAAGAGAAGAAGTTAGAAGGAGAACCTTCGGAGGATATAGAATAATTGGTTCTGACCTTTCTAGCAGAGATGAGGGTGGGATTGGAGGGAAAGATGGGCTTTCCTAAACAAGTTGCCTTTAAATGCCTAACTAATGGGACATTAGTTTTTGCCACTCTTTTCTTTTGGCCTCATGAAGGATTGATCGTCTTACTAGCCTCAGTAAAACCCTTGATATCTATGTCTATACCCATTGAGGAAAACATTATTATACTTCAGAAATAAAAATTGTGAGAAAAAGCCATAAATCAAAAACCTTCCAAAAAGGAAGTGGAGCTTTTGTAACAAATAAGCCAGCCTGGAAAAGATTGGAGTCACTTATCAACGACAAATAGGATGCTACTTACAATAAAGGGCTATGATCTCATTTGCCCTCTCCTACAGCTTTAAAATGATCCTCGATTGTAGGTACGCTGCAAAAAGAAAAGTTAGTTGTAACCTGCTCATTAAAACATTTGGAAAATATAAAATAATTACTAGCTTATTTACTTTGTTATAATCGGTGGGCACAACCTCATCCCTTTTCGCCTCAGATGGATGGAATTGCTAATCACCTTAGATAAAGAAGAATTCTTCTTTCCATCTCTTGATTGAAGAAGGAGAATCTACAACCACAAAAGCCCCTCATGTTTGATCTTATGCTAGTATAATACCACCCGAGTTTTTCTTGTCCTCTTTGAAGTTATAAAGAGCATTAAAATGCTCAACAGTAAGCTCCAGAAAATCCAGATTATGCCCTAATAGTAAGTGTCCAAAATAGTCCTCCACCCATTCGGGTGGAGCTGAGTACGAGCCATTCCCTAGGCAAATAAAAATGTACGAATAATGGGTGGAAAAGAGAGCCTAAGATTGCCAGAAAATAAGGTAGAGCTTAAGGCTACACAACATTCTAGAGGATCTCAAAAGCTTGATCATGTGGGAAATAAATGATCATTTCAATCAGAAGTATGTATATGGTAGGTCCTTTGCCATTTCCCTAACTGCCTAGATAACATTGACGATTTGATATGTAAGCATTCCACCCCATCTTCTCATGCTTCATCATCGCCTACTTCATCCACTACATCATTCCCAGATTTTATCTCTAAGTAGACCTACCATCGCTGCATCATCCCCAGAATGTACAAGTAAGACAGGATGACAATGCTTTATTATGGACACTACAGTTCTACCAAGTCGGACTACAGAGCAAGAGAAAATACTTTATGTACCTTTGACCCTGAGGAAGAACCTTGTTCATTAGAAAGGATGGACTCCTCCTGATCGTTCCCCACAAATGTAGCCTACTCTCATCAGAATTCATACCCATCGAATATAAGAAAAAAGTTTAAGGTAAAGATAAAGACAGAGGAAGTGAGAACAAAAATATACCTGTTAGCTGGATGATTTAAATAAAATCAAGAACAAAAAATAGGAAAACTCTCTTGAATGGCCAAAGAGGATAGAAAGATATCTTGGATGAAAATATGAAGAAAAAAGAAGAAATAGTAGGTATTTAAAGGAGATGAAGTTGCGAGACCAAATCTAGGCCATTCAATGTAGAGATGGCAAAAAAACCGCCAAACCAGATATCCGAGGGGTCTCGCCCAGAATGGGGTGGGGATTATTAACTTAATCGGGTATTTGGGTCGGGGACTGGGGCGAGGGATTTCGACCCAGGGCAGGTACGGATAACAAGGGCCCTGCCCTGCCTCGTTTAACCTTATTTTATTTTATTTTAAGAATTCAATGCTTTAATGAAAAATTCCACAAAATTTCATTAATTCTAACGAAAGATGATTATTAAGATTATTTAAGGAATATGATAAACAATAAAATTTTTAGTTTAACAAATATATTTCAATAATTTAACTTTTAAAAATAAATAAATTAATTAAAAAAAAATTAATAACTATATTATTGTCTCACCTTAATGAATGGGGACAATAAAATGAATCATAAAAAATAAAAATAAAAAATTAATGGGTACTAAATGGGACGAGGGCAATACCCTGCCCCCAACCCAACCTGGCCCAACCCGATTTGCCCTACTTTAAACGGGTAACGAGGTGGGTTCGGAGTGAAAACTTACCTAGCGGGATGGGACGGGTTGTCCTGTCCCGATGCCTTGTTGCCATCCATAATTCAATGAGAAAAAAAGGGGAGAAATTGAAATATCATGGAAGTAAAAAGGTGTACCCTTTAACAACATTACAAATGGCATTAAATTAGTCATTCTTTTATCCCACTCACAACCTTTCATTCTCTAGAAAGAATAAAATAGATTAATTTATAAAAAAAAGTCCATATTTTACCACGGTAAAAATTTGAACCTTGGGAGATATTTGTTGGGATATGAACTAAAATGGCAGCACTAACCTATCACAAATAAAGAAAAATCCACCTTAGCTCTTTAAGAATATGTCATTTCGCCAATATGCCATAGCCATCTAGAAGCATAATTATTACTCAATGCAACTTCATATTCCTAGATATTGTTATCACCATTTATGCAACCAATCTAGAAGAAACAGGTGCTAGGCAATGATAGCTGCACCACTCTTTTAGCCAACAATCAGTTAGTAATGATTAACCACCACCCTAAAGACTATTTTGGCTGACATCAATGATAAATCAAAATTCTCAAAAAATCAAATAATGGCACATGCTATAAGGACACTAAGGTTGATGATGTGATGCATGGCCGCCAACTACCTAGCTGAAAGCTTATAAATAAATACACAAACTTAAGTTACTCTCTTTACATGCTTTAAATTCACTCCAATTAATACAACAATCTTCCCTTTTTACTATTTTAGCATTTCACCTCGTACGAATCATCTATTAAGTTGATAATATTTGACCTAGTTATTTTTTTAACATCGACATATTTATTTATAATAACAGTTATTTATGAGCACTTCCGATTATTCGATGAACCTATGGCAGTTTCTTAGTCCTAAATTAAAAAGACATGCATTTAATCATACCTGAACAATAAATCATTACAATATTGTATTTATTGTTCTAATGTTATACTTATATTGTACTTAAATAAAAAAAATGTTAATATTGAAATTGAATGAAAAAATTCCTCTCACCTAATTAAATTTTTACTCCTTATACTCCTTGAATTCCTTTAGTAAGAGTTACGAGAAAAATGATATTCTTCTTTATTCACAACTATGCCTATTTATATATTTTTGATGAGGCTGTAGTGATGATCAACTCTTTTCCTTTGATGACACGTGAAAATTGTTGATTAGTGAGCTTTAATTGAATTATTTATCTTTTTACGTTTTATTCATCATTCCCTATGTCCTTTACTCATTGGTTATGAAGTAATATTTAACATGTCTATCAATTTTATTCACGTGTACTTCAATAACTTTTTTGTTAATGTGGAATAACATATGGAAACAACTAAAAGTATATTGGTTTATTCAATAATTTTGCATTCAGATGTCTAGTGCTCTCGTTGTTGATGTTTAGGATCGAATATAACGCTTCGTATTGTTAATACACATTATAATGGCTTAAGTTTGTACATGATTTAATGATTTTATAAATTAGAAATCGTCAATAGTAGCACGTGTTCGCACAAAGCACGCTTAAGATATAATCGCATATCAATATTCTTTCACTAATCTTTGTAAATTTAATTGATACAAAAGAGAAGGATGTGAGCTTTGGCTCTAAACTTTACAATTTAATGCATCTAGCATGCCTAATTAACCGACGTCGAAACAATTAGGAGACTCTTAATGAAATTATCCTTAATTTTTCCAAGAAATAACAATAAATTCTAAGAGTAATATACACAACTTTGTATTTAATAATTTGATTGCAATTTTTAAATTTAAACAACGAAATCAATCTCAATTTCATCTCTTTCGAATCACAAAACCAAGAACCAGCCACCTTTTTTTTTTGTTTTTTTTTTGGTTTTTTGATAGACTTATAGGTGTGAAGTGAATAGTAAAATATAAAAAGACTCAAGTATAGAAATTTTTTGACAGATTGATTATCGAAGTTGACGTGGCAAAATGTGATTCACTTGTTTTTTTTTTTTTTTTTAATTTTTTCATCTTTCAATGAATACATGCCAAATGTTGTCTGTAAATATTTTCTATCAAAATTGTCTGTACTTGTAGCATGACTGTAGTAAAATATTGACATGACATGTTGGCTGGACCGCTTACAGGCCCAACATGATAAAAAGCATTCGGACTCAATCTACTTAAAATCCTTACTTTTGGTGTCAAGTGTTTGCTCCCATATAGTTTTGGGAGGCATTCAAAATTTCCAACCCTGGGGTCAATTGCCAGTACTTTTGTGACAGTCGCTCTCACTTCCCTCGTCAGTTTCACTATCAGGCATCATCAGCCTATAAGCAATCAATTTTGCTGTTTTAGACCGACCCTCACAGCAGGTGGGTCCATCCGAAATCCACCTGTATAAATAATTGGCCAAAACCCAACCCTCTCGCGAGTGCTCGGTAGGGTTGTGTACCCTATACCTCAAGAATATAAGCAATACCCGCGTTCGCACCATCAAGTTGAGTTTCAATCTCTTTCCACAATTTTGATTCGAATTCATATGATTGACCATCAAATTGCTTATTATCAATCAAATTTTCAGTTCTCTTTTCAGCTATAATCGTAAATCGCTTCAATTTCTTATTCCACCACTCTGAAAATTCATTAAAAAAGGGAAAATGAAGCTGACACCGAGAGAAATTGAAAAGCTGATGCTCCATAATGCTGGATACCTTGCGCAGAAGCGTTTAGCTCGTGGCATGAGACTCAATTACACTGAAGCTGTTGCTCTTATAGCTACTCAGGTATTCGTATTCTCTGAATTTTGGGGATTTTAATTTAGAAAAATTACGTTTATTTTAATTATCCAAACCGCGCGTAACATTGCACGAATGTGTTTCGTTTTCATTTTTATTAGTTTTTGAAATAGGTAACTTTTTTCACTGGTCATCAGGGGCAGAGCTAGAACAAAAGATTTGTGGGGACAAATTACAAAAAAAAATTTGATTGTGGGGGCAAAAAATGAAAATTATAAGGATTTTTTTTTTTTTTTTAGCCGGGCCGAGCACAAAAATTTTAGGCTTGACCCGAGCTTTCGGCTCGGACCTTTTCTAGCCGATGGACAGGCCCGTTTTTTTTCTCTCCCCCCCTTTTTTTTTCTTATTTACTACCATAAGGATTTTTTTCTTAATAAAGGCTCACGGGTTCACAGACTAGCTCAGGCAAAGACCGTGTCCCAAAAATGGGGCTGAGCTTTTGTGACCCTAGTCGACAAGCTCGATTGACATCCCTAGCTGTCCCCACGCTAAATCCGTCCTTGTGGTCATGGTTATTGTATGGTAACAGTTGCATATCAAATTATATTTTGAAATAAAAATTTTAATTAAGCATTTGCTTGGTAAAGATTTTTTCAAGTAAAAAATGAATTTTTAAATTTTTTTTATTTTTTTCCTCCATAGAATGTGTGTCTGAGAAAAGCATTCTAAAAAATTCTCTCGAAAAAATACCCTAAAAGTGAGTTTTACTTGCCTCACGCATAGCTAATAAAGCCTTTGTGAGGATAGATCACTTTATCTTGTTTTGCATTTGTTATTTTCTGTTTGTCTTAAAAACTGGGTTGGTTTAATGTACTATCTTTTTGGGTTTATTGAACAGATTTTGGAGTTTGTGCATGATGGTAACAATAGCGTGGCTGAGTTGATGGACCTTGGCAGGCAGTTTCTGGGAAGGTAGTATCAGATTCTATTTAGATTTGCTTTATTTATTTTTGTAGTGAAGATACTATGGTGATTATGTGGATTTGAATTTTGATAATGCCATTAGTCTGTTCCATGCAAACAAGATTTCTGATATGAAACGCTTTGATAAATAGATGAATAAAATGAAGAAAGTGAAATCCATTTAATTAATTTGGTGAAGCGAAGAATTGAGTTTCCTAGGAAGGGAGAATAGAAGGCAGGAGTTAGTGAAGATAACTTGTTTCTGCTGCCTTTTGTCGGGGTGTTACGCATCAATAAATTAGAAGACCAGACATTTAATAAATGAAGCAAACAGAAGGTTCATTTTAGAAAAATAGATGCCTTGGAAGCGTTTTTGGCATTTAAAAGTTGTCCCTCTAATTTAACCCTTGTTTGATCCTCAATATTTTCAAAATATATTTTTCTCTCTCTTCTTTTCAACCCCACATTCTTCAATAAAAAATATTATGCGCAAATTCAAAACTTTTTCTTATATTTTAACTACACATTTTCATCAATCTATTATTCCAAAATGCATTCTTAGCAAAAAAATTGGGCTCAAACAAACTCTTAGCCTATGTCCCCGTTTTTTCAAAAATTCATTTATTCAAAATTCATTTTCAACCATATATTCTCTTATTAAATAATATTACACGTATTTTCTTATTTTTTAACCATATATTCTCCTGAAAAGTCACCATTCCAAAATTCATTTTCCCCCAAATTTCCATTAAAATAGAGTCTAAACAAGGGCTTAGTTTGCAGAAGGTTGAAATACTAGAAGGTGAAAAGCCATGGTCTGAAAAATGTTTCCTGAAGTTATGTGCAAATAAATGACTCTGGTGAGGAAATACTCATGAAAATATAATTGGTAATTCATAGTTCTTGTTGGATTGTAATTAATTAATAGTACTCTGGATACCTCCTTGGCAGAAATCACAAATTCTGAGAGATATCTTCTCTGTTTACAGGAGACAAGTTCTTCCAACTGTTCCTCATCTGTTGTATACAGTTCAGGTACTAAACCTCATTGACCCATATGAAATTGACTCCCTTTGACATTGTAGAGAGGGATCAAAGTTCATGTAAATTTATTTTTAACTGCTGACTTTACACGTAGGTCGAAGGTACCTTTCCTGATGGGACAAAGTTAATCACAGTTCATGATCCAGTAGCACGTGAAAATGGAAATCTGGAGCTAGCTTTACATGGCTCTTTTCTTCCGGGTAATTATCTTGTATAACTTCACAGAATCTTCACGGAGTTTGCTTTCTATTATTTGCAACAAATATATGTTGTATAACTTCTTCAATTTACCACTTGCATCTTCGCAAAATGTTCATACCCTTTCTTGTATTAGTCTCACATTAAACTGTATTGTCACTTTTGCTTCCGTCAGGATAAATCTGACCCCTTCCCTTAGCAAAATTTGATAAATGAAGGAAGCGGCTTATGATTTACTTGAATATGAGGACTGCTCTAAATTGCTAACCTGTCAGCTATTTACTTTTTCAGAAGAAATTTGGCCTCAAAATAACCACATAGCCTGATAGGTATATTTATATTACCTATGTTGTTGGTTAGAAGTATTTATCTCTAATTTTATTTTGGTTTTCTGTGTAGAGGGATTGCAGGTTCTATAGAACTTCTCCAGTTTTGGGATTCTTGAATCTTAGCCCTTGATTGGGCCTCATTTTCTAGAAAAAAATGCATTTTTTAACAGTGTTTTGATACCATTTCAACCACACATTCTTCAATAAAATAATATTACACGCAAATCCAAAAGTTTTTCTTATTTTTTAACCACACATTTCCCGTCAAAACAGAAATTCATTTTTTCCTTCAAAATGGGACTCAAACAAGGGCTTAGTTCTTGTTTGGGAGAAATTGTAATGGGATTATAATAAATAGGAGTAATTGTCCCAAGAAATATGTGAAAATAAGTGGGTAATAGTTGTGAATTTGTGGTTAAAATTAAATTTTGATTTTGACTTAAAATTATAAGGAGATTATAATTTTCCCGAACTTGCTCTAGTAGGACTTGCAGTTAGTATATGATCACATGTAATGACCAAACTTTGAACTTTGTGGCAAACCTATCCTTTAGAAACTTATCATGAAACATTCTGTTCCATAATCTAAATCCAACTTTATTTGTAGTCTATTCTACAAAAATGGCTTAATTATTGCTCTCCACATTTTATATTCTTGATCATGCATGTGAAAAGCTCAATGTATCATGATTATTTGCTTCACAAGCTTAATTTGTTGCCTGTGCACTCTGAAAATAGTAAGTTTGTATGAAGTGGTTCCTTCTAAACGTCAGTGTGTTTTGCTTACAGTTCCTTCATTAGACAAGTTTCCCACAGTTGAAGACTGTAAAGTTCCTGGTGAAATAATATGTGGAAGTGGACATATCATACTTAACTGTGGAAGGAAAGCCACAATTCTGAAAGTAGCTAACATGGGTGACAGGCCGATTCAGGTACTTGAAATAAAGCTTAAATTTCCATTCTTTTCCAAAGTGGTTTTTGTGCTTTATTTCAAATTAAGAGAGATGACGACATGCAGCTAGATATTAGCAAAAATAATCTGATCTAAGCAACAAAAAATGTTGTGAGAGATATTGATGAATTTTTCTTATTCAGGTTGGGAGCCACTATAACTTTATTGAGGCGAACCCATTCTTGGTTTTTGATAGAAGGAGAGCATGCGGTATGCGGCTAAATATCCCGGCAGGGACAGCAACACGCTTTGAGGTTACTGCTGTGACCCTCTTTACTTCACATTGACCCAGTTGTATTTTTCTTCCCTCATATATCAAATTTTAGTGTATTAAGATGGAGTTTAATCTATAATTCTTGCACACATTATTCTTCTGTAATATAACTGTGGCTCATCTAACATGTACGGAACACATGCTTAGCTAAGATGGCATTCCCCAAAGAATAATCTACAGTATCTAGCTACTTGTGCATAGATCTAATTTGCTTGCTAAAAGCTTGTTTAGTTTCTGCACATAAAATCTTTCAATCTGTTGGCGAGTTGATTTATCCACCCCAAATACCCTTATAGTAATGATAAATTTATCCCACAAAAAATAGAAAATTTGATGCGAGACATGATTCACATGACCACAACTTGTTCAGAATTTGGTCAATCCTATTACGATCTCTATTTGAGCTTGTAGACCTGCCAATCAAAATTTTTGTTTTTTGTTTTTTTTCGGCTAATTGACGTGACTCTTGATCCACTTGACTTGAGTTGGAATTTTCTTATTCAAGCCTGAACTCTTCTGTAACTTGCTGATATAAAATCAATTTTAGGAAAGTTTACTTTCTAAGTCGCCTCTTTTTAACAATCTTTGTTAAGACTGGGTACTATACTTTTAGTTTGTCTAATCAGTGCCCATCTCTGAAATACTTCTCCTTTTGACTTGCTAAGCACTATAATCTATCCTCAGGCTGTAGAGATACAAATGTTGTACAATTGTATTGATATTTATCTTACTCTGTTAGCCAGGAGATGCAAAAAGTGTTACTCTTGTCAGGATTGGAGGCAAACAGGTGAATCTTTGTTAAGACTGGGTACTATACTTTTAGTTTGTCTAATCAGTGCCCATCTCTGAAATACTTCTCCTTTTGACTTGCTAAGCACTATAATCTATCCTCAGGCTGTAGAGATACAAATGTTGTGGGAAAAAAAAAAAATACAATTGTATTGATATTTATCTTACTCTGTTAGCCAGGAGATGCAAAAAGTGTTACTCTTGTCAGGATTGGAGGCAAACAGGTTATTCGGGGAGGAAATGGAATTGTTGATGGCTCAGTAGATGATGCTAAAATCATATCAGTGATGGAAGCTGTACATAAAGGGGGATTTGGTGTTGCAGAGGAAAATGCAAGGTTAGGAAGCTTTTATTTTTCTCTTTTAAGTAGAGAGCAGAACACTCTGTTTGGCTTTTCATGAATTTGCGTTAGTTTTATACTCTGTTATTTTGGTTATGAATATAGCAGATGCTAAATTTCGAACTGATTTTTCAGTTGCAGAGAAGGTGTCATCGAAGAAGGGTCTGATTTATCTTATGTGCTTTCTCGTGAAACCTATGCTAATATGTATGGCCCCACCACTGGTGATAAAATTCGTCTTGGGGACACTGATTTATTAGCAGAAATTGAAAGAGATTTTGCTGTTTATGGGGATGAGTGTGTATTTGGTGGTGGAAAAGTGCTGAGAGATGGATCGGGACAATGTTGTGCATATCCATCATGTGACTGTTTGGACACTGTCATAACAAATGCTGTTATCATTGACTATACTGGAATATTTAAAGCAGATATTGGCATAAAAAATGGTCTTATTACCTCCCTTGGGAAAGCTGGCAACCCAGATGTCATGGATGAAGTACCTCACGACATGATTGTTGGAGTGAGTCCAGTGTATCATAATGGTGGTTGTGTTGCAGGTACAAAAATCTTTCAATTGAACACTTATTTATTTTGTTGATCTTTGTGGTCAGGTAAATACTGAGGTTATTGCTGGAGAAGGAATGATTGTAACAGCAGGAGCCATAGATTGTCATGTGCATTTTATATGTCCTCAATTAGCACAAGAAGCAATATCAAGTGGTGAGATTTCTTGGTTAATGGTGGAATTTTGTCTAGAACACAGGATAATGCGCTCATGCTAGTTAATTTGTTGTCAGTCAAATCACTTATGGCCCCTTTTGGATATTCAAATTATTATTATCTACATTAAAGCTTCCATAAATTGTCATGCCTAACATTTTATGGAAAAGACACTACTTCACTGTAGAGAAATTCAACTTTTCTGCTCTATACTTGAGAAAAAATTAGTGAACATTGTTCTCTTTTTGTTTCTTTCCTGTTATGTATCAAAACAAGTGTAGGCGTTACTACATTGGTGGGAGGTGGCACTGGACCTGCAGATGGAACACGTGCAACTACTTGTACTCCTGCACCACAGCACATGAAACTAATGTTGCAATCAACAGATGAAATGCCCCTTAATTTCGGTTTCACAGGAAAAGTATGCCTCTTTCTGTGCGAACTTGCATTCTCCCTTCTACTTGGAGCATTTGACAAATTTTACTTGCCTTGAATTTTCATGTAAAGCATAAAAACTCAATAAATGTGCTACAGATGAAATGCTCGTCAATTTCGCTTTCACAGGAAAAGTTTGCCTCATTCTCTGTGGACTTACTTTTACCCTTCTACTTCTTGGAGCATTTACCAAGTTTACTAACTGCACACGCTATTGATGATATTTCTTGATATCGGCCTCAATTTTTTGCTGCCCCATACAAAAACTTAAAAAAGTGCAGATGATGTGTCATATGGTGCAGTGCCATATCGGGGGGGGGGGGGGGGGGGGGGGGGTTGGGATGTGTACTGTGTTCTAGTAACACTTATTATTTTTTTATTTTTTTTATTATTATTTGTTTTTTTTAATTGTAGGGGAATACTGCCAAAGCAGAAGGCCTGCATGAAATAATCAAGGCTGGAGCAATGGGGCTGAAGCTTCATGAAGACTGGGGAACTACTCCAGCTGCAATAGATAATTGTTTGACTGTTGCAGAAGAATATGACATTCAGGTATTTACCTTTTCTCTGTTCCAACAAATTAAGTATCTTAATGCGCTTTAATATGTTATTCACTGATTACAAGTTGCATTATATTTATTTTAGGTTAATATCCATACAGATACCTTGAATGAATCTGGATTTGTGGAGCATACAATTGCTTCATTTAAAGATAGAACGATTCATACTTATCACAGGTATAACCTTTGCTATCTGGTTTCTGGGTCCCCAGTTATGTTCAATGGGAAGAACATCACGTCAAATATGCTTGCATGCACTCATTTAAATTTTTGCAGTGAAGGTGCAGGTGGTGGTCATGCTCCAGATATTATTAAAGTTTGCGGTGTAAAGAATGTCCTCCCATCTTCAACTAATCCAACGAGACCTTACACTATAAATACTGTAGATGAGCACCTTGACATGCTTGTAAGAGAGGATGATATATTATTAATGTATTATCCTATGTACAGTACGTAAAAAGCGAATGAGAAGATAAGAAATCTGTTTTGACAATATTTAAAATGCATGCAGATGGTCTGCCATCACCTTGACAGGGACATTAAGGAGGATGTAGCTTTTGCTGAGTCACGGATTCGAGCTGAAACAATAGCAGCAGAAGACATTTTGCATGATATGGGGGCAATAAGTATCATAGCTTCAGATTCACAGGCTATGGGACGCATTGCTGAGGTTCTTTCTACTCACATTTCTCTACCATCTTATGAAGTTAGATGTATGCTTCTCACTCGATGCTTACTCTTGTCAAACCTTTTTTTACATGTATTGTGCTAAGTTGGAAAGTAATACTGACTGTCCAATTTATGCAAGTGGGCTTGGCTAATTGGACATATGGATAGATGATTCATCATTTATTTAATTATGCTAGATTTGTTTTATTTAGGCTTTAGTCATGTTCCGATATTATTAAAAGTTAGGGCTTTGTTTTGCAATTTTATTTAACTTTGTGTTTAGGGTGGTACGGTTTTCTTTAAAAGCCAAGGTTATGGTCATTGTTACTCAGCCTTTGATTAATAGAATAAAATTTATATTGAGAGTTCTCTCAATTTTCGTCAGTTATTTGGTAATGTTCAGAATCAACCAATTAGTGATATTGGTGCGCGAATCAAGAAGTCTTGATTGTCAATTCCCGGCATTCTTAGGAATTAATGGGGGTTTATAGTGTTCATTTGATACTTGCTTCCGCCTACATCAGCAATTCTCTTGACAGGTGATTACAAGAACTTGGCAGACTGCCCATAAGATGAAGTTATTCAGAGGAACCCTTGGAAGTATTGCATCAGAAAATGACAATTTTCGGATCAAGAGATACATTGCAAAGTACACAATTAATCCTGCAATAGCTAATGGGTTTTCTCAGTATGTTGGATCAGTTGAGGTACAATGACCATACTTTGATTTTGTTATCACTGATTTTTTTTATCATGTTCGGAACTACAGATAAATTATCCTAGCCTCCTAGGTAACGTATCTGAAGTTTCTTAAAAATATCTTCTGAACTTGTCTTTGTGAAAGTCGATATTTTTACGTATTCACATGCAAATTAACTACAACTGAAAGTTGTAGATATGACTTTGCTTTAGGTGGGCAAGTTGGCTGATCTTGTTATGTGGAAACCGTCATTTTTTGGGGCTAAACCAGAAATGGTGATCAAGGGTGGAATAATAGCATGGTCTAATATGGGCGATCCAAATGCTAGCATCCCGACTCCTGAGCCGGTAATGTTGATATTGTTTACAATGTTCTCAGGAGATTTATAAGCAGTCTCATATCCTTTTTATTCTATAGTTTGGCCGATTATAGAATCATCATTGCCAATGAACTCTAAAATTAAATTTTTTCTGTGTTAGAAATCATTGGGAGTTTTAAAGTTGAGGCTGGAGGTGCTTTCTGTTGATGGTTAAAATTTTGAACTTGTTTTTCTTGAAGTTATAATCTTGAATATCTCATAAGAATGTTGATTTATGACCACAAAAATGCGGTGAAGAACTTAGAAAATTGGAAACTTGCTTGTTCAAATGGGTTCCAGTCGTCCCATTAGATTTGAAGACAGTTTTAAAATAAAGTAATACTATTCATCGTTAGTAAAGGAATCACCAGTCTAGGTGGCAAGAGGCCCTTGATTCATTGTCCAATAGAGTGATGATAAGAAACCGACCAGAAAAACAAGATTAACTGCTGTATTGAGAAGCATTTCTATTGAATAATTCGGGAATTACAAGAAATTAAAGACGAGTAAGCCTATAGAAGGCTGTAAACAAGAATTAGACCCACAGACTACTCAATTTCTGCCTATCATACTCCTTCCTCACTATTCTTATTTATAGGCTTTAACTAACAGAAAGTTGTCAATCCATATTCCCCCAACAGAAATTAGTTTACCCCCTTCCCGCCTCCACTTGCGAGACCCGCTTCTTTGCCCTTCTAGAATATGTGTAGTGAATTGGTGGCTTAACATTACCCCTGCCTTTCAAAGACACCTTGTCCTCAAGGTGGAAGTCGGGGAAGTGTTGCAAGATTGATTCAGCTGATTCCCAAGAGGCTTTAGATTGGGGCAGACCCCTCCACTGCACAAGCACTTCCATGCCAGCCGGTCTGTGACGGGTTTCTAAAACCTTTTCAGATTCCACGACCCATTCCAAATTACGTGCAAGATGTGGGGGAAACTCCTGGCTTGCACCTTGTGCCCCAAGCGCCTTTTTAAGTTGCGAGACATGGAACACAGGATGTATAGCCGCGGAAGGTGGCAACTTCACACGATACGCCATAGGCCCTATCCGCTCTTCAATCTCAAAAGGACTGAAGTATTTAGGGCCCAGCTTTTCATTGGGTTTTCTTGCAAGGGAGCGGAGGCGATAGGGCCGGAGTTTGATTTACACCAAGTCTCCAATACTCAATTGGACATCTCGCCTATGACGGTCTGCTGACTCCTCCATCTTTTCCTGGGCATGATACAGATGAGATTTCTGCTCCTCCAACATATGATCTTTGGTTTGTAATTACTGTTCTACTGATTGAATTGTAGTGGTCTAGCTGCCGTAACGGATGAGTGGGGGAGGGTCCCTTCCATAGACTGCTTTGAAAGGTTTAGTATTTGTAGAGGAGTGGAAGGTGGTGTTATACCAATACTCTGCCTAGGGAATCCAATTGTTCTAGCTCTTTGGTTTGTCATAGGTAAAGCATCAAAGATACATTTCCACACACCGATTAACCACTTCAGTCTGCCGATTTGATTACGGATGGTAAGATGTGCTTCGACAGCAGATAGTCCCCTGGAGGCGAAAAAGTTTTGACCAGAAGTGACTAAGAAATACTTTGTCACGATCTGAGACAATGGATCTTGGAATACCGTGGAGTCTGACAATTTCCTTAATGAAGACTGCAGCTACTTCCTCCGCAGTGAAGGGATGTTTCAGTGGCAAGAAATGGGCATACTTATTGAGGCGATCAACCACCACCAGTAGGGAATTGTAATTTCCAGATTTTGGTAGGCCCTCTATGAAGTCCATTGAAACATCTTCCCATATAAGAGTGGCAATAGGTAGGGGCTGCAAGAGGCTTGCCGGGGAAAGTGCAGGACTCTTACTTTGTTGGCAAACCGGACATTCTTCCACCAACTTCTTAATGTCCTGTTTCATCCCCACCCAATATAGCTCACTGGTAAGTCGCTTATAAGTGCGGAAGAAACCTGAATGCCCCTTGGCCAGACTATTGTGGAATTCTCTCAAGAAAATCGGAATTAGTGGGGAGGATTGGGCAAGTGCTAGACGTCCTTTATACAGTAACTTCCCGTGCTCCAATGAGAAATGTGGATACACATCTAGGTCTTCCTGCAACCCGTTTTTTATTTTAGAGAGGTATAGATCCCTGTCTACTTGTGCATCGAGCAATTGACTCTCCATAACACCTTAGCGGGTTAATGTGGCTAACTCAACCAAGGGATTTAGACGTGACAATGCATCCGCCGCCTTGTTCTCCATTCCAGGACGATAGTGGATCTCCAAATCATATCCCATCAATTTTGTCACCCATTGCTTGAAATCGTCAGGTATTACACGCTGTTATAACAAGTACTTTAGACTTCGTTGATCAGTACGCACAACAAATTTTCTCCCCAGCACATAATGCCTCCATTTTTGGACGGCTAGGACAATGGCCATTAATTCCCTCTCATAGATGGATTTATGTAGAGAGTTTCTGGACAATACCTGACTGTAACAGGCAATAGGGCACTGTTCCTGCATAAGAACCGCCCCTAACCCGTGGCCCGAGGCGTCTGTCTCAATAATGAAGGGCTTTGAGAAATCTGGAAGAGCCAATACGGGTACTGTCGTCATAGCCAACTTCAGTTTTTGAAAGGCAGCTTCTGCATCATTGTTCCACTTGAAAGCATCCTTCTGTAATTGTTGCGTAAGAGGCCATGATATTGCACCATAGCCAGCTACAAACCTCCTGTAGTAGCTAGTCAATCCCAGAAACCTGCGAAGCTCTCGAATGTCACGAGGGGTTGGCCATTGTACCATTGCTGCTATCTTACTAGGATCTGCTGCTATTCCTTCAGCTGAGACTAAGTGCCCCAAATATTCTATCTGATGCTGCCCAAAGTGACACTTTTTTCCATTAGCGTAGAGATGATTTGCTGCTAAGATTGTTAATACCTCCTGGAGGTGTTGCTCATGGGCTTCCAAACTCTTGCTATAGATCAAAATGTCATCGAAGAAGACCAACACAAATTTCCTCAGCCGTCTCCGGAAGACCTGATTCATCAGAGATTAGAATGTGGCTGGTGCATTAGAGAGGCCAAAGGGCATGACCAGGAACTCGTAGTGCCCCTCGTGAGTTCGGAACGCCGTTTTATGAACATCCTCCTTTTTTACTCTAATCTGGTGGTACCCCGACCTGAAATCCAGTTTGGAGAAAATCGTAGCACCATGTAGCTCGTCCAACAGTTCATCAGTGATCGGGATGAGAAACTTATCTGGAATGGTTGCTTTGTTCAGGGCCTGTAATCCACACAGAACTGCCAACTCCCATCTTTCTTCTTCACCATTAAAACAGGACTGGAGAACGAGCTGACACTAGGCTGTATAATTCCAGCAGTTAGCATCTCCTAGACCAACCGTTCAATCTCGTTCTTCTGAATATGGGGATATCTATAAGGATTCACGTTAATTGGTTCAATTCCCCCCTTTAAGGGAATGGCGTGATCAATATCACGGCTTGGGGGTAGCCCTGGTGGTGTAATAAACACCTGTTGATGTTGCTGCAATATCCCCTGTATCCCTGCAGGTGGTAGTCCCCCTCCCTTGCTGATTTCGATTCCACCCGAGGGGTCCTTCCATTCTACCAACACTCTCTGCCCTTCCTGCTGTAAGGTTTTCATCATTAACTTTAAGGATACCCCTGATTTTTTAAGGCTGGGGTTCCCTTTTAATATCCTCACCGAATTCCCCAACTGGAACCTCATCGACGAGCGCTTCCAGTTGACCTCCATGTCACGTAAACTTCCTAACCATTGCATCCCCAACACCACATCCGTACTTCCTAACTCCAGCGGCAAGAAATCCTCCACTATAGTTAGCCCTTGCAATTCCAGAACTACTCCCCTACATATCCCCTTCCCTTGCACGGATTTACCCGACCCCATCACCACTCCATAATTAGTCGTGGCTGTCGTCGGAAGATTCAATTTTTGAACCAGCTCAAGGGATATAAAGTTGTGGGTTGCACCACAATCAATTAATACCGTCACTCCACACCCTCCTATAACCCCTTTTAGCTTCATCCCCTTCTTCCTCGCAACCTCCCTTTCCTTCGACCAGCAGAACCTGCAACTCGCGGTTTCGACATTGATGGCCGGCCACATACTTCTCGTCACTCTTAAAACGCAGCTCCTTGTCACGCTTGAGCTGCCATTTAGCTTCGGATAACCTCTTAAATGGCCTGGTTGTGGTCGGTCTCTCTCCGACTGTGATGGTCTTCGTTGGAAATCCCTCAAATCGCCTCGCATCTGCCCGACTTGAAGGGGAAGTGGGCTTAAATGACTTATGGTTCATGGGCTCCTGGAGTTTTTTCAGAATCAGATTTCTATCTTCAATTTTCTAGGCCACCTCCATAATTGGGCCCCGCCCCTTTGGACCCAGTAGCCTCACTTCAGCCGGATCCCTGTCTACTTGTGCATCGAGCAATTGACTCTCCATAACACCTTAGCGGGTTAATGTGGCTAAGTCAACCGAGGGATTTAGACGTGACAATGCATCCGCCGCCTTGTTCTCCATTCCAGGACGATAGTGGATCTCCAAATCATATCCCATCAATTTTGTCACCCATTGCTTGAAATCGTCAGGTATTACACGCTGTTATAACAAGTACTTTAGACTTCGTTGATCAGTACGCACAACAAATTTTCTCCCCAGCACATAATGCCTCCATTTTTGGACGGCTAGGACAATGGCCATTAATTCCCTCTCATAGATGGATTTATGTAGAGAGTTTCTGGACAATACCTGACTGTAACAGGCAATAGGGCACTGTTCCTGCATAAGAACCGCCCCTAACCCGTGGCCCGAGGCGTCTGTCTCAATAATGAAGGGCTTTGAGAAATCTGGAAGAGCCAATACGGGTACTGTCGTCATAGCCAACTTCAGTTTTTGAAAGGCAGCTTCTGCATCATTGTTCCACTTGAAAGCATCCTTCTGTAATTGTTGCGTAAGAGGCCATGATATTGCACCATAGCCAGCTACAAACCTCCTGTAGTAGCTAGTCAATCCCAGAAACCTGCGAAGCTCTCGAATGTCACGAGGGGTTGGCCATTGTACCATTGCTGCTATCTTACTAGGATCTGCTGCTATTCCTTCAGCTGAGACTAAGTGCCCCAAATATTCTATCTGATGCTGCCCAAAGTGACACTTTTTTCCATTAGCGTAGAGATGATTTGCTGCTAAGATTGTTAATACCTCCTGGAGGTGTTGCTCATGGGCTTCCAAACTCTTGCTATAGATCAAAATGTCATCGAAGAAGACCAACACAAATTTCCTCAGCCGTCTCCGGAAGACCTGATTCATCAGAGATTGGAATGTGGCTGGTGCATTAGAGAGGCCAAAGGGCATGACCAGGAACTCGTAGTGCCCCTCGTGAGTTCGGAACGCCGTTTTATGAACATCCTCCTTTTTTACTCTAATCTGGTGGTACCCCGACCTGAAATCCAGTTTGGAGAAAATCGTAGCACCATGTAGCTCGTCCAACAGTTCATCAGTGATCGGGATGAGAAACTTATCTGGAATGGTTGCTTTGTTCAGGGCCTGTAATCCACACAGAACTGCCAACTCCCATCTTTCTTCTTCACCATTAAAACAGGACTGGAGAACGAGCTGACACTAGGCTGTATAATTCCAGCAGTTAGCATCTCCTAGACCAACCGTTCAATCTCGTTCTTCTGAATATGGGGATATCTATAAGGATTCACGTTAATTGGTTCAATTCCCCCCTTTAAGGGAATGGCGTGATCAATATCACGGCTTGGGGGTAGCCCTGGTGGTGTAATAAACACCTGTTGATGTTGCTGCAATATCCCCTGTATCCCTGCAGGTGGTAGTCCCCCTCCCTTGCTGATTTCGATTCCACCCGAGGGGTCCTTCCATTCTACCAACACTCTCTGCCCTTCCTGCTGTAAGGTTTTCATCATTAACTTTAAGGATACCCCTGATTTTTTAAGGCTGGGGTTCCCTTTTAATATCCTCACCGAATTCCCCAACTGGAACCTCATCGACGAGCGCTTCCAGTTGACCTCCATGTCACGTAAACTTCCTAACCATTGCATCCCCAACACCACATCCGTACTTCCTAACTCCAGCGGCAAGAAATCCTCCACTATAGTTAGCCCTTGCAATTCCAGAACTACTCCCCTACATATCCCCTTCCCTTGCACGGATTTACCCGACCCCATCACCACTCCATAATTAGTCGTGGCTGTCGTCGGAAGATTCAATTTTTGAACCAGCTCAAGGGATATAAAGTTGTGGGTTGCACCACAATCAATTAATACCGTCACTCCACACCCTCCTATAACCCCTTTTAGCTTCATCCCCTTCTTCCTCGCAACCTCCCTTTCCTTCGACCAGCAGAAACTGCAACTCGCGGTTTCGACATTGATGGCCGGCCACATACTTCTCGTCACTCTTAAAACGCAGCTCCTTGTCACGCTTGAGCTGCCATTTAGCTTCGGATAACCTCTTAAATGGCCTGGTTGTGGTCGGTCTCTCTCCGACTGTGATGGTCTTCGTTGGAAATCCCTCAAATCGCCTCGCATCTGCCCGACTTGAAGGGGAAGTGGGCTTAAATGACTTATGGTTCATGGGCTCCTGGAGTTTTTTCAGAATCAGATTTCTATCTTCAATTTTCTAGGCCACCTCCATAATTGGGCCCCGCCCCTTTGGACCCAGTAGCCTCACTTCAGCCCTTATATCAATTCTCAGCCCATTAATAAACATGCTTTCTAGCACTTCGTCGGAGATGCACTTCAGGGAAGCGGCAAGCATCTCAAATTCTCGCCGGAATTCCGCTACTGTCCCCCTTTGTTTTATAGCCAGAAATTTTTCACAGAGGTTCCCCTCTTGCGTAGGCCGAAAATGCAGCAGTAACGCCTCCCGGTATTGCCGCCATGATTGGATGGGTGATCTCGCTTCTGCCTATTGAAACCAGGACAGTGCATCTACATCCAAGCTGACCGCCACTGCTCCCAACTTCTCTCATTCCGTAAGCCCGTTTACTTCGAAATACCTTTCTGCTCGAAACAGCTACCCATCTGGGTTTTCTCCACTGAAGATGGGCATCTCTAATTTTTGCACCCTCCTCCAGCTTTCCTTATCCCTGCTCTAGAAGGTGTTCGTTAAGGGCCTCCCAAAGCTAGCTCCTCCTATTCCTTCCTGCCATTTCTCTGGTTCGTCTACTTGCCGGTCCTTCTCAACTTCTGATTGCACTGATCCTTCGGTCACACTAGCCTTCCTCTCTCTCTTGGAGTTTTGGCTCAGCCCTTCCACTTTATGTATTAGAGCTGCCACGTTCTGGGCAAGCTGCTCCACTGTTTTGTACAAGCCACGCATCCCTTCCGTCGTCTTCTCCAAGCCACGCATCCCTGCCCTCATCTCCTCCATTTCCTTCTCCATGGTGTCGACTCTACCCTCTGTCTTTTTCTGTGCCATGGAAAGAACCGGCTCTGATACCAGTTGATAAGAAACCGACCAGAAAAACAAGATTAACTGCTGTATTGAGAAGCGTTTCTATTGAATAATTCGGGAATCACAAGAAATTAAAGACGAGCAAGCCTATAGAAGGCTGTAAACAAGAATTAGACCCACAGACTACTTAATTTCTGCCTATCGAGCTCCTTCCTCGCTATTCTTATTTATAGGCTTTAACTAACAGAAAGTTGTTACTCCATATTCCCCAAACAGAAATTAGTTTGCCCCTTTCCCGCCTCCACTTGCAAGACCCGCTTCTTTGCCCTTCTAGAATATGTGTAGTGAATTGGTGGCTTAACAAGTTGTAATGCATTTTAATGCATTGGACAGTGAATTAAGGCATCCACTGCCACCTAGATTGATTGTAATCTCTACCAATAATGAATAGCATTATTCTTCAAAATATTCCTCCACGTTTAATGAGTATGAACAAATTATAACAGGTGGTGATGAGGCCCATGTTTGGTGCATTTGGCAAGGCTGGGAGTTCTAACTCAATCGCTTTCGTTAGCAAGGTGCAGACATTGTGCTCTCTCATGCGCACATGCTCAGACACACACATGCACAGAGACTACTCACTTGGATAACTTTAGCTTTGTTTTTTTCTCTTGCATTCTTTTACCCGTTTTCATTTCGCAGGCAGCTCTGTATTCTGGGGTGAAAGAACTTTATGGACTCAACAAGAGAGTGGAAGCTGTAAGCAATGTGAGGAAACTCTCAAAGCTCGACATGAAACTCAATGATGCCCTTCCCAGCATCACAGTAGACCCAGAGACCTATACAGTGATTGCAGACGGAGAGGTTCTTACCTGTCCAGCAGCTTCTACAGTTCCACTTTCGCGTAATTACTTCCTTTTCTAGGCCTCATTGTTCTGATGCACGCATCACTCTGATATTTTTGGTAAAACATTTTAAAATGGTGAAATAATAGCAATGCGACTTCCAAATGTTGTCGTTTTTGCTGCTTGCACTTGATTTATTGAAGTGTAGTAGAAAACATTTCGTCTCTCTTGTCACATGTCTACTTGTTCTTCTCTTTGACTATCCATCAGTAATACACGATTCTCATTGGAGAAGTAATCTAGTGCATCAATGTAGTGGAAATGTGAAATTGAATATTTGTCTGTTAAATGTGATTCTTATTAGTGTGTTTATTTATCTGACTAGTCTCGACTCCAGTCAATGAAAATTCTTGAAATGTGAGAATGTATGTACTGATTATTCATACTAATTATAAAGAAGATGGTTTTAAGGTTTTAGAGGGTGCAAAAGCAACGGAGAGATCAATATGGAAAAAAATGAGGTAAATTTGACGAAAACTGGTTTCGTCAACTTTTTCTTTTTCTGAAAATGTTGAAATTCATCATAAAAACGAAGAGATATAATTACCATGATTGTGTTCTTACTTTTTACGTGCATTCATGTGTGTATAATCCTATAAAAGGGCCAAGATCCAAATGGCATTTAGCCTTTGTTTGAGTCACATTCTTTGAAAAAAATACATTTTTAAATAGTGTTTTAAGATCATTTCAACTACACATTTTTAATAAAATAATATTAAATGTAAATTCAAAATTTTTTCTTATTTTTTAACCACACATTTTCTATTAATACACTATTCAAAAATTCATTCTTATGCGAAGAATGGGGCTCAAACGGGGGCTTAGGTAGGGTTGTCAATCTCCGGTTGGGCCCATGAAAGCATGAGCTTGACTCGTCCAAAAATGGGCGAGCTCAGCTCGGCCCACGAGCTGTCGAGCCGAGCCCGGCTCGCGAGCAGACGTTGTTTTTTTTTTTTTTTTTTTGAAACAAATAGGTAAATTGGAAAATAAAAAAGTAATTTTAATTTTTAAACTAGGTAAAAAATTTAAACCATCATCCTTTATCCGAGCTTGGGACCGGCTACTTAAATTTAAAGTATGCGGAGTTAAAAATTGTGTTGTTTGTTTATTTGTTCGTATACAATTTTTTAAAGAAAATTTAAAATAATATTAAAAATTATTTTTTCAAGCAACGCTGCACGTCCCCTTGCATATAATCTTCGAAGAAAATTTCTTCTAAAAATTGAAAGGGTAATCGAATATCCTTTCAATTGTCAGAAGTCTTTCACTTCTTCGATTACCCTTTCAAATTTTAGAAGGAATTTACTTCAAAAATTATATGCAAAAGTACGCACAGCGTTATTCGAGAAAAGAATTTAAAATGTAGATATATATAGTAGTAATAGTACCAAGTACTAACAAAAAATTTAACTAAATTAGTAGAAATGAAATTTTTTTTTATTTTCACTAAAAGAGAGAAAAAAATAAAAATGAAATATTTTTTTTTAAATTTTTCTTTTTAAAATAGATAAAATATAAACACTCCTCCTTTATCCGGGTTTGGGACCGGCTACTTAAATTTTCAGTAGGCAGAGTTAAAAATTGTACACAAACAATTTTTTGTAGCTTGTACAATGTTTTAAAGAAAATTAAAAGTAACGATAAGAAAAGAAAATTTTCATCAATATAATTAAATCAAGTATCACTTACTTGACGATATGTAATTTCGGCATATTTATCTTGTAGTAAAAAATGAGTGTCCTGTTAATCCTTAATGCAAATTAACGCTTCTAAATATCTTCTTTCAGTCAGTTCCTGACCACGCTCAAAACTCTTTTACTTGCACTAAAAGCAGACTCCGAAACAACAGTGCTAACCGAAGGTGTCAGCAGATCTTTTGCAATCGCAGATATAACTGGCCAACGTCGTTCATACCTTCGCCAGAATTCAATTATTTCGTCTGAACTTTTTTTAATTATTTTATCTGTTGACATATTCTGGTTGAAATAATCAATTAATTCAACAAGCAATGCATTATGGCTTGAGCCCGTAGATATTTGATGAGAATGAGATACAGATGGTGACGACATGGCAGTGACAATGGTAGTAGATGAACACATTGCAGATGAATCAAATCTATACGAATTAATGCCTTAAAATAAATTAAATATTTCTGCATCTTCTTCTTCAATTTCAGTGAAAATAGTAGATGCAGATGGTACCTGACTAATATTAGTACTCATTCGGTTCGCATATAATTCATACATTTTACTTAATGTTTGCTCTAAATTTCTATATGTGATAGGTGTATCAAATGTTAAGGCGTTTGAAATTTGATCAATTATATATTTAGTTCCCGATAAATTATATTGGGGGTCCATCACGCGTGCTAAAGGAAATAACATATGCAAATCTTCCCAATATTTTCTAAATTTTAATTCCATAGTAATTATAATTTCACTAAAATCAGGGTCATTTCTGTATTTATGAAATGTTCTTGTAATTATATAAAAACGTTTAAACACCATACGGCTTGTGGGATAATAAACGCCCGATAAAATCTTAGTGGTTTCATAAAAAGATGTCAAAAATTTTTTAACCTTCAAAGTTAAATACCAATCACGTTCAGTCAACACACCCTCGTCATTACTTCTAACATGTTTATTGTTATAAAAATTAGTTATTAAATGTTCAAAACTTTCACATGACTTTAATAACAAGTAAGTAGAATTCCACCTATGACCTACATTGTTAACAAATGTTTTAACATTTTACACTCCTATTTCGGCACAATAATCATCAAATATTTGTTTTCTACTTGGAGAGATTGTGATATATATTAGTGCGTTCCTAATATTTTGAAATTCATCATTTATATATTTTAAACCATTTTGGACAATTAAATTCAAAATATGACATACACAAAGAATATGAAACAAACACCCACCAAAATCAAGTTGTAGTACCCTATGCAATTTTTCGGCAACTACTTTATTAACACTAGCATTATCGAAAGTAAATGAACGAATTTTACTTTCGCAATGATATTCCCTAACAATACTAATAATAGCATTAAATATATAATTAGCGTTGTGAAGAAACTCAATAATTCTAAAAGCAATAATTTTTTTATGCATGTACCAAAGTGGGTCTATATAATGTGCAATTGCAGCTATATATGTTCTTTTATTAATCCATTCTCATATATCCGAAGTTAAAGATATGACACCCCCATATTTTTACAAATCCATAATTAATTGTTGTTTTGTTGAAGTAAAATATTGTATTGTATCGGAACGAAGAGTGTTTCGACTTACCCCAGTGTACCTTGACTGCAGATATTCTTTCACATACGAGACGTAGTGTTGGTTGTCAATTAATGCTAAAGGCAACTCAGCACCAGCAACAAGCTTTACCATTCCGATTTGAGCTTTCTCCTCTGAATACACCTATGTGAATAGGGGTGTAGCAGAATCACCGGCGTCTGAACTGCCAAATTGCAATTGCGTTTGATAGCCTGGAATAAGTCCGTGTTTGACTGCACATACTTTGTAATGACGGTTGAGATGGGTGGTACCAATTCCTCTTTGCCATGCCAATCTTTGTTGGTAGTATTTACATACTGCTTTGAATTCTTGGACTCCATTGACGATTTTTTCCATTGAAATCAACTTAAAATGATCCCAACATTTTGCTTTTTTTTCCCCTTTCGCTTTTTCCTCGCATCAGAAATGTTTAATTCAGCATCTTCTTCCTGATCGTGTTCCGCTTCGGGAACGTGAATATCATTCAAATTAATTGAATAATTTGGATTGCTGCTTACATGATGATGAAGATCCAAATCTGGAATATCTTCAGGTAAGAGTACGTCATTTAGACCTTCAAATTGATTCTGAAATTGACTTTGCGGTGTCATAGACGATTCGTTTCCTCCCACACCGAACAAGTTTTGACAAATGTGCGTGGATCCATTTGTTTAATTGTAATAAGTAATAACTAGTAGAAGAATAATTGTATAAATGTAGTGAGAAATGAAAATTGGATGAAATTTCAATAAATATAGTGAGAACTGAAAAATGAGAATTGAATATTGTATGAATTGTATATAAAAATTGCACAACTATCAACACAATACAAGAGAGTTGAGAGAAAGATAATTGAGAGTTGAGAGTGAATTATAGAAAATTTTGTGACTAAATGTCACTATTTATAGAAGAAGAAAAGAAAAAAATTTAAAGACCAAAACGGTCACTGAAAAAATTTAGTGACCGTTAACGGTAATAAAAAAAAATAATTAATTAATTCAGGGATTGAAACAGTCACTGACAAAAGTCAGTGACCGTTACATAAAGTGACCAAAACGGTCACTTTTTAAAAAAAGTGACTGTTTCGGTCACTTTCAAAAACGAGCCCACGGGGCTCACGGGCTCGTCATGAGCGACTCGTTTTTTGTGCGAGCCGAGCCCAAACCGGCCCGTTATGCTAGCGCTCGAGCTTGTGTTTTTACGAGTCCGAGCCGCCCACGAGCTCCGTTTTCACGAGCAGAGCGGGCGAGCTACTCGGCCTATTTGCCACCCCTAGGCTTAGGTATTAGGATAGGAGAATTGGCACAGCTGGTCCCAAACCTGTGCGCATCTTGTATTTTTGGTCTGAAACTTAAAATCTTGGCTCTGGTTTAAAACCTTCATGTTCTTGAAAATTGGTCCTTCAGGATGGATTTTGTCCAAAATGATTGTCAAATTTGCTCGTGGACTACATTTTCTTTTAAGGATAAATTGCATATAGTCCATATGACCTATGGCAAAAAACTGACCCATGCTTAGACAAACTGTTGAGAAAATGTGCGTAATACTGAAATAAAACTTATATTAAAAAATTCTCACAATATGAAGAAACTAGGGTAACTTACGAGAGAAAATGTGGTGATGTCAAAGTAGGTAGAGCTGTCTTCCGAATTAGTTGGATCATATGTGCAATGTTTTTTTGATAGACGAGATCTCTAGTTCAAAATCAAGGATGATCTAGTTGTGCCAAAGAAAAGAAAACTCATGTGGGTCTTTTTGAACTGTTTGTTTTAAAAATCTAAGTTGTTAAAATTATGTTATATGTATTTTTAATTTTTAAATGTCCCCTCATATAATAGCGAGATTTATTTTTTTCAATCACACAATTTGACACGTGCATAATTCACTTAAATGGGTGACGATGAGATATCAATCTAGATGTGCTCTATATCATGTCGAACCTATAAGAGATTTAAGCATACAATTATTATTATTATTATTATTATTATTATTATATGCTCATATATAAAGATTACACCACCACTCAATTTGT